ACTCATTTCATTGAATTAACGTCTACTTTTTTTTTCTTTCTCCAAACCGCACTTCTTCCTGCTTTTTTTCCTCCCCCTCCATAACCCCAAACCCACCACCATCACCTCCTTCACCCACTCACCCACCCCCAACCGGCTGTGGGAAAGCCATTTTATCAGCGTCTGTCCGTTGTTCTCTGGTGGGGATAGATACAGAGAAGATAGATGAGTGTTTTGACATGGAGAGTGTTAGACAAACACTCTTATCAGGCCCGCCACTTTAGACCGACCCCCCCTCCCCCCCCCAAACAGCTCTTGGTTGAGCTGAGGGGGAGCTGGAGAGGAGGGCAGGCAGATTTTGTATGTATTTTGATCAGTAGGTGGACGGTTATAACAAGAGAACTCCTCAACAAGCAGACCCCAGGGCTGCTTGTGTAACTGCAGCAGCTGCTGTTAATCCCATCTAGTCAGAGTTCCCGTTACAGCACTCACTTGCAGTCTTGTTCATTTATCCTCAGATGTGCAGAGACTCCTCTAAACGAGAGACTCTCACAGTCCGAGCTGTCTCTAAGTTTTTAAATAGATGGTTCAGTCCTCCATGCCTGCCGGCTATCTGCCTCTATCTGGGCTGCAGCGGGCTCAGACCACAGCTGTCACTGCCATCCTTCTGCACTTATCTTTTCACTTTGAGGAAGTACACAAGAAGTTTCCCCTGTTTGAACCGGCCAGGACAGAAAGCGCCGTGCTTGTATCAAACTCCCCCTGCTGTTGAGCTGCTGACAGTATTTTCTGTTTGGGCTGAGCTCCTCTGAGGGTTCAGGTCAAGTTCAAGCCACATGCTGATTGAGTTTTTTGTCTTTTGAGCCACCCATACGGCCTGCACTGTGGCACTGACCCTCAAAGCTTTTCTGATGAATGGTGAGTTCAAGGTTTTTACATCGTGCTCCCGATGAAGAGACCTCTTCACGATCTCTTCGGCACATGAATATTTAAACCACTCTGGGCTTATTTAATGTTATTTTCTCCTCTGTTTCCCACCTGCTTCCCAGATGACCTGGAGCTAAGTGATGAAGGTGGCGACAGCAGTGTGGTGACAGTAAGAGACCTCTCTCCAGACACAGTATGGGGCCCCTACCCAGGAATCGTCCAATCACAGAGCAGCACAGATGAGCAGGAGACCGAGGTAAGAGCTCGTCCAGCGTGGTTACCACGGCTTAAAGTTCTCTGGCACTGTGCTGAATTTCCAGCATGGAGCTGTTTAAGATTTAAATATAGAATTATGTCTATGGTAACAATTCCTGTGTATTTTACTGCGTTTGCACTGCTTAGCAAAGTGTTGGCTTAACCGCCGTCTCTGCAACATGAAAGCACGAGTAAACTGTAGCATGGACGGCTCGGAGACCAACACAGGATCGATCATTTAAAAGTTTAAACGCTAGACGTGATATTCTTTATGACTTTGTTATGTTTGGATTTGGATACAATAAATCTACCAGACTATGTTTTCCTGCTAAAATAATGAATATTGTATTTTTGTGGCTCTAAAGCAACTTTCAAGTTGATGTGAGAACTCACATTGAGCAGGTTGAATTTCTCAGATGGTTGCTACCACAGCCTACCATCTAGTTTATTACGTGGAGCTTTGTTTTTAGCATCGTTGGACACTGAAGTAGGAGATCACTGTACACATGAAGGCCTGATACGCTGTCCGCTACTAGGTTAATGTAAAGGATTTTTGTCCAGTGAGATAAATGAAAAAAGTCCTCGTCCAGTCCTGAGCTTCTCAGGGTTCCTGAAGGCTCTTTATTGTGGCTACAGTAACACT